TATTATTCTTATTATTATTTATCTTATTATTATTATTATTATTATTACTACTATTATTATTATTATTTTTATTATTATTATGATTATTATTATTATTATTATTGTTATTATTATTATTATTATTATTATTATGATTATTATTATTATTATTATTATTATTACTATTATTATTAGTACTATTATTATTATTATTATTATTATTAATATTAATATTATTAGTAGTAGTAGTAGTAGCTCTGATTTATCTTTCCAACGAGATATAATACGCTCCAAACGGTTAAACACACAGCAAGATATGAGTGTCACAAATACTTAGCCTTATCTCTATGATTTAGCGTTTTCAGCGAAAATAGAGCACTGTTAGCGTAAGTACAGTGTATTTTAGTAATTAGGCAATGCTACCTTGATATTTTGAAACCAGATCCTGAAGACAAGTTTTAGAACTCGGTAAGAGCTTTCCATCGAGATATTAAACGCTTTCAACGGCACAAAATAGAGAAAGATATGATCGCATCAAATTCTACACGAGTTCGGAGTGAAATCAGAAACATTTGTGAATATCTGGTCAATCTGTAACTTTTAATTAATTCATTGTAAATGAAGTTAGAACAATAGCTTTAGAACTCCGATCTATCTTTCCAACGAGATATAATACGCTCCAAACGGATAAACACACAGCAAGATATGAGTGTCACAAATACTTAGCCTTATCTCTATGATTTAGCGTTTTCAGGGAAAATAGAGCACTTTTAGCGTAAATACAGTGTATTTTAGTAATTAGGCAATAATCACTTGATTTTTTGAAACCAGCGCCTGAAGACAAGTTTTAGAACTAGGTAAGATCTTTCAAACGAGATAATAAACGCTTTCAACGGCACAACAAAGAGCAAGATATGATCGCATCAATTTCTACACGAGTTTGGAGTGAAATCAGAAACATTTGTGAATATATGGTTAATCTGTAACTTTTAATTAATGCATTGTAAATGAAGTTGGAACAATAGCTTTAGAGCTCCGATCTATCTTTCCAACGAGATATAATACGCTCCAAACTGATAAACACTCAGCAAGATATGAGTGTTACAAATACTTAGCCTTATCTCTATGATTTAGCGTTTTCAGCGAAAATAGAGCACTTTTAGCGTAAATACAGTGTATTTTAGTAATTAGGCAATCATCCCTTGATATTTTGAAACCAGGGCCTAAAGACAAGTTTTAGAAAATGGTAAGATCTTTTTAACGAGATATTAAACGCTTTCAGTGGCACAAAATAGAGCAAGATATGATCGCATCAAATCTACACGAGTTCGGAGTGAAATCAGAAACATTTGTGAATATATGGTTAATCTGTAACTTTTAATTAATGCATTGTAAATGAAGTTGGAACAATAGCTTTAGAGCTCCGATCTATCTTTTAAACGAGAAATAATACGCTCCAAATGGATAAACACACAGCAAGATATGAGTGTTACAAATACTTAGCCTTATCTCTATGATTTAGCGTTTTCAGCGAAAATAGAGCACTTTTAGCGTAAATACAGTGTATTTTAGTAATTAGGCAATCATCGCTTGATATTCTGAAACCAGCGCCTGAAAACAAGTTTTAGATCTCGGTAAGATCTTTCCAACGAGATATTAAACAATTTCAACGACACAAAATAGAGCAAGATATGATCGCATCAAATTCTACACGAGTTCGGAGTGAAATCAGAAACATTTGTTTATATATGGTTAATTTGTAACTTTTAATTAATGCATTGTAAATGAAGTTGGAACAATAGATTTAGAGCTCCGATCTAACTTTCCAACGAGATATAATACGCCCCAAACGGATAAACACACAGTAGGATATGAGTGTCACAAATACTTAGCCTTATCTCTATGATTTAGCGTTTTCAGCTAAAATAGAGCACTTTTAGCGTAAATACAGTGTATTTTAGTAATTAGGCAATAATCCCTTGATTTTTTGAAACCAGCGCCTGAAGACAAGTTTTAGAACTCGGTATGATCTTTCAAACGAGATATTAAACGCTTCCAATGGCACAACAAAGAGCAAGATGTGATCGCATCAAATTCTACACGAGTTCAGAGTGAAATCAGAAACATTTGTGAATATATGGTTAATCTGTAACTTTTAATTAATGCATTGTAAATGAAGTTGGAACAATAGCTTTAGAGCTCCGATCTATCTTTCCAACGAGATATAATACGCTCCAAACGGATAAACACACATCAATCTCTATGATTTAGCGTTTTGAGCGAAAATAGAGCACTTTTAGCGTAAATACAGTGTATTACTATTTTTGATACTATTATTATTATTATTATTATTATTATTATTATTATTATTATTATTTTTATTATTATTATTATTATTATTATTATTATTATTATTATTATTTATTATTATTTTTTTTTTATTATTATTATTATTATTATTATTATTATTATTATTATTATTATTATTATTAGCTCCGATCTATCTTTCCAACGAGATATAATACGCTCCAAACGGTTAAACACACAGCAAGATATGAGTGTCACAAATACTTAGCCTTATCTCTATGATTTAGCGTTTTCAGCGAAAATAGAGCACTGTTAACGTAAATAAAAATTATTTTAGTAATTAGGCAATCATCCCTTGATATTTTGAAACCAGCGCCCCAAGACATGTTTTAGAACTCGGTAAGATCTTTCCAATGAGATATTAAATGCTTTCAATGGCACAAAATAGAGAAAGATATGATCGCATCAAATTCTACACGAGTTCGGAGTGAAATCTGAAACATTTGTGAATATCTGGTCAATCTGTAACTTTTAATTAATTCATTGTAAATAAAGTTAGAACAATAGCTTTAGAACTCCGATCTATCTTTCCAACGAGATATAATACGCTCCAAACGGATAAACACACAGCAAGATATGACTGTCACAAAAACTTAGCCTTATCTCTATGATTTAGCGTTTTCAGGGAAAATAGAGCACTTTTAGCGTAAATACAGTGTATTTTAGTAATTAGGCAATAATCACTTGATTTTTTGAAACCAGCGCCTGAAGACAAGTTTTAGAACTAGGTAAGATCTTTCAAACGAGATATTAAACGCTTTCAACGGCACAACAAAGAGCAAGATATGATCGCATCAAATTCTACACGAGTTTGGAGTGAAATCAGAAACATTTGTGAATATATGGTTAATCTGTAACTTTTAATTAATTCATTGTAAATGAAGTTGGAACAATAGCTTTAGAGCTCCGATCTATCTTTCCAACAAGATATAATATGCTCCAAACTGATAAACACTCAGCAAGATATGAGTGTTTCAAATACTTAGCCTTATCTCTATGATTTAGCGTTTTCAGCGAAAATAGAGCACTTTTAGCGTAAGTACAGTGTATTTTAGTAATTAGGCAATACTCCCTTGATATTTTGAAACCAGATCCTGAAGACAAGTTTTAGAACTCGGTAAGAGCTTTCCAACGAGATATTAAACGCTTTCAACGGCACAAAATAGAGAAAGATATTTGTGAATATATGGTTAATCTGTAACTTTTAATTAATGCATTATAAATGAAGTTGGAACAATAGCTTTAGAGCTTCGATTTATCTTTCCAACGAGATATAATACGCTCCAAACGGATAAACACACAGCAAGATATGAGTGTCACAAATACTTAGCCTTATCTCTAAGATTTAGCGTTTTCAGCGAAAATAGATCACTTTTAGCGTAAATACAGTGTATTTTAGTAATTAGGCAATCATCCCTTGATATTTTAAAACCAGCGCCTGAAGACAAGTTTTAGAACTAGGTAAGATCTTTCCAACGAAATATTAGACGTTTTCAACAGCACAAAATAGAGCAAGATATGATCCCATCAAATTCTACACGAGCTCGGAGTGAAATCAGAAACATTTGTGAATATATGGTTAATTTGTATCTTTTAATTAATGCATTGTAAATGAAGTTTGAACAATAGCTTTAGAGCTCAGATCTATCTTTCCAACGAGATATAATACGCTCCAAACGGATAAACACACAGCAAGATATGAGTGTCACAAATACTTAGCCTTATCTCTATGATTTAGCATTTTCAGAGAAAATAGAGCACTTTTAGCGTAAATACAGTGTATTTTGGTAATTGGGCAATCATCCCTTGATATTTTGAAACCAGCGCCTAAAGACAAGTTTTAGAAAATGGTAAGATCTTTTCAACGAGATATTAAACGCTTTCAGTGGCACAAAATAGAGCAAGATATGATCGCATCAAATCTACACGAGTTCGGAGTGAAATCAGAAACATTTGTGAATATATGGTTAATCTGTAACTTTTAATTAATGCATTGTAAATGAAGTTGGAACAATAGCTTTAGAGCTCCGATCTATCTTTTAAACGAGATATAATACGCTCCAAACGGATAAACACACAGCAAGATATGAGTGTCACAAATACTTAGCCTTATCTCTATGATTTAGCGTTTTCAGCGAAAATAGAGCACTTTTAGCGTAAATACAGTGTATTTTAGTAATTAGGCAATCATCCCTTGATATTCTGAAACCAGCGCTTGAAAACAAGTTTTAGATCTCGGTAAGATCTTTCCAACGAGATATTAAACAATTTCAACGACACAAAATAGAGCAAGATATGATCGCATCAAATTCTACACGAGTTCGGAGTGAAATCAGAAACATTTGTTTATATATGGTTAATTTGTAACTTTTAATTAATGCATTGTAAATGAAGTTGGAACAATAGCTTTAGATCTCCGATCTAACTTTCCAACGAGATATAATACACCCCAAACGGAGAAACACACAGGAGGATATGAGTGTCACAAATACTTAGCCTTATCTCTATGATTTAGCGTTTTCAGCTAAAATAGAGCACTTTTAGCGTAAATACAGTGTATTTTAGTAATTAGGCAATAATCCCTTGATTGTTTTGAAACCAGCGCCTGAAGACAAGTTTTATAACTCGGTATGATTCGGTAAGATAAAGATAGCAAAAGTTGAGAGCTTCTCTCTCCTGGGAATTCCTCCCCAGCTCTTTTGCGGCTATGGATTGTGTGTTGTTGTGGTTCTATGGTTCGTAATCTGTGTGTGCTGATGTTCTTGGACCTGTATTCTTGCTGTATAACATCTCCAAGTTTAGGATTTTGTTTTTGAACGAGGTATGAGGGCCAAAACTCAAAAACCAGAGGTCGAATTATGCTGAATCTGGGGTTTGCGATTTCTTTGTTTCAGTTTGATTATTTCTGTTTTTTGGTTGTTTCTCGGTCGGAATTCTCTTATAAAGCCATTTCCGTGCTTGGATTTGGATTTAGTTTGAAGTAAGAAAGTCAAAATCTTAAAATCGACAGGTTAAAACGCGGTTTTACTGTTCATGGCGACTCCTCTTTTCCGGAATTAGCTGTGCAGTAGGGCTGCGTTTTACCTGTTATTTGAGAACCTGTTTCGCTGACTGGGGTTGTGCTTGCTGAGTAACATTGTATGTTTCGCTGATTGTGGTATCCATACCATATGACGAGAAAAAATCAAGGGGGGGCTGGGGTCTCCTCAAAAACTAGACACACCAGATCATCTCCGAGGTTTGCACTACTTGAAGGAACTGATAATGAATTCCCAGAGCTTATTTCTTCGGTTAACAGGACTGGGAGTGGACCAGCTGCTGTTTCTGCTACCAGTGAACTGCTAGTTGAGGAAGAAAGGGGCAAACAACCAACTCCAACACGAACCGATGATGCTGGGATTAATAGGAAGGCTGGGACTAAGCAATACACCTGTGATGGACCTGAAAACCAACCTGCTGCGATTTCTATTGCTGGTATTCAATGCCAACAACCTGAACAGCTTGTTGTTGCCTCTACTGCTGCTATAACTGCTGAGAACGGTGGCAGTACTGCTAAGGCAGTAAATGGTGCACCTTTGGCAGTAACTCCTATAGCCAAGGTGGGGGCTGGAACTCCAAAGTCTCCTGGGCAGATCAGTCAACAAACTGCCAGTGTAATCCAAAAGCCATGGACTTCTCTTTTTAAGGATAATAGGGCTCCATCAAATGGCCTTAAGTTGAGGTATATTCCGCCGAAAGGCAATTCCTTGGATTTTTCGGATAGGATATTGCCCACTATGGTTGAAATGTGGGGTTTTTGTCTTGTTGGATACATTACCGGAAAATTCCCCGGCCTAAAGGCTATTTATGACTTAAAAAATTCTTGGGGTGTGAGTTGTCTTGTTAAATCCCATGCCAAGGGGTGGATCATTTTTAAATTCCAAAATGATGAAGATAGAACAAAAGTGTTGAATGGGGGTCCTTATACTATTTTTGGAATGCAACTCTTGCTAAAATCGCTTTCGGAAGATTTTTCTTTTGATGATGATGAATTTCTTAAGGTCCCCATTTGGGTCAAATTTCCCAATTTACACATGAAACTATGGAATGAGGAGGCTTTGAGTGAAGTTGCTTCTATGGTATGGGTCCCGTTAGCTACGGACAAAATCACCCAAGATAGAAGCAATCATCTCTATGCTAGAGTGTTGATTGAAGTTGATGTTTCCCGACCACCGCCACTTTCATTTCCTATACGACTACCTTCCCACAAAGTAGTCACACAATCCGTGGTCTATGAAACTTTTCCCAATTTTTGCTTCCATTGCAAAGTATATGGGCATCACCCATTTATTTGCAAAAAACTAGCAACAAAAGAACGGGATATGCTTGGGGCTGAAAAAGGGGGAAAAATTGGAATTGAGGGAATTCAGAAGGTTACCAAGGAAAAAGAAAAAGAAAATGCCAAAGTGGGAATCATTGAGGAAGAGGAAGGAAACGAGAAGAGTGTACTACCGGAGGCTGATTTAGCGGCCGCAACTTTGTCACCGCATGCCACACCGGTAACCTCACCGGTAATGGAAGTCGTGGAGACCGTCCCAAAGAACACACCGATTGACACTGAAGATGAAGAATCTGACACGGAAGGCCCATTTATGAGTGATGATGAAGAACTACTTCTCGAAGAGTATTGGGCAAAAATCAAAGAGCTAAGGAGGTTGAAAAAAGAGAGAAAAGAGAAGACAACCGCAGAGGATACTATGGGTCTTGGCTAAATGGTGTTGAGTAACGCATTAACGTTTTGTAATGTGTACTTGATTTAGGGAGGTAGCTGACTCACGTGATTTGGTGATTATGGGATAAAACCCATTTTGTTTGTGAGGCATTATATTTAGGTTAGATTAGTCTAACTTAGATAGTCGTACTTTTGATTTGGTTGATACATTGTATTATGTTATTTTTGTGTGGTTTTAATATATTTACATTTCATACAAAAAAAAAATAGAACTCGGTATGATCTTTCAAACGAGATATTAAACGCTTCCAATGGCACAACAAAGAGAAAGATGTGATCGCATCAAATTCTACACGAGTTCAGAGTGAAATCAGAAACATTTGTGAATATATGGTTAATCTGTAACTTTTAATTAATGCATTGTAAATGAAGTTGGAGCAATAGCTTTAGAGCTCCGATCTATCTTTCCAACGAGATATAATACGCTCCAAACGGATAAACACACAGCAATCTCTATGATTTAGCGTTTTCAGCGAAAATAGAGCAGTTTTAGCGTAAATACAGTGTATTACTATTTTTGATACTATTATTATTACTATTATTATTATTCTTATTATTATTATTCTTATTATTATTATTATTATTATTATTATTATTATTATTATTATTATTATTATTATTATTATTATTATTATTATTAGCTCCGATCTATCTTTCCAACGAGATATAATACGCTCCAAACGGTTAAACACACAGCAAGATATGAGTGTCACAAATACTTAGCCTTATCTCTATGATTTAGCGTTTTCAGCGAAAATAGAGCACTGTTAGCGTAAATAAAAATTATTTTAGTAATTAGGCAATCATCCCTTGATATTTTGAAACCAGCGCCCAAACACATGTTTTAGAACTCGGTAAGATTACTCGGTAAGATCTACTGAAAAAATGCGTGTTGAGAGCGTCTCTCTCTGGAACGACCGTTCCAGGCTCACGCATAACGAATCAACGAATGGAGCTCTTCGATCTTTATACTGAGCTGATTTCTTGGGTTTCCCAGGCTGATTTCCGTTCCCCTTGCCATTTCCGATTCTGGATTTGGAAGTGGTGTACCGATTTAAGGCCTAAAATCCATAATCGAAGTGCTTTTTGCGTAGCTTACTGTTCACCGGTTTTGATGAGAAATTATAGTTGATTTGTGTTGTCTCGTGTTAAATCTGGGACTGTGGTGGTTCTGCTCACCTCTGGGCGACCTAGCATACCTGGTTTTTGGCTGGATTTGTACTTGGGTCTAACTTACGTTTTTTAGGTCTGAATTTGTGTTTTTATCTGTTCTTCGTGTGCGATGCGGAATAGCAAGCGCGAACTTGGGGAAAGGACCAGGACGCGATCTACTCGATCTTCATCGAGGTCAGATGTCCTGGGGGATACCGATGTTGAAATCCCGTGCCCTAGAGTGACTAAATGTGCGAACCAATTTTCTGGTACAGGGGCCAAACCTGCTGCGGAATCTGCTGCAGGGGTAGCGATCCAATTTTCTTCTGGGAGTACAGATGCAATCACCAGTTCTAGATTCTCAGCACTGGAATTTTTGGATGCAGACTTCCCTGCACTGCAGACCCTGAATTTGCTGAAAACGAGTGACAACCTTACTGCTAAGAATCCTGGGAACTCTGCCACCCAATCTGCTGAAAACGGGAGACAACCTGCATAGAATAAGCAAGTTATTCAGCCAACTGCTGCTGTGAAAACAAATGGGCAGAAACCTGTAGCTGTGAATGGTGTAGATGCTGGAAAAATTGGGCACAATGCTGTTGAAAGAGTGTCGCCTACCCCCACGGCTAAGCAGGTAGATTTAGCTGCTCCAACTAATGCGGTTCAGCTGGAACCAAGAGTGCCAAAGCCTGCAGTAACAATCAATTACGATATGTAACCACCAAAGGAGAAAGTGTGGACATCCCTTTTCAAGGATAACCGAGACCCCTCAAACGGCCTAAAATTGAGGTATATTCCGCCGAAAGGCAAATCCTTAGACTTTGGTGATAGAATATTGCCCTCTATGATTGAGTGTGGGGATTTTGTCTTGTTGGATATATTACTGAAAAGTTTCCCGGAATTAAGGCCATTTATGACTTGAAGAATACTTGGGGTGTTAGTTGCCATATTAAAACACATGCTAAGGGATGGATTATTTTCAAATTCCAAAATGATGAGGATAGAGAAAAAGTGTTGAATGGGGGCCCCTATACCATTTTCGGAATGCAACTTTTGCTAAAATCACTTTCAGAAGACTTTTCTTTCGATGATGATGAATTTCTTAAAGTCCCCATTTGGGTTAAATTTCCCAATCTACACATGAAACTATGGAATGAAGAGGCTATGAGCGAGGTTGCATCTATGGTAGGGGTCCCGCTTTCTACGGACAAGGTCACTCAAAATAGAAGCAATCATCATTTTGCTAGAGTTTTAATTGAAGTGGATGTGTCTAAACCACCTCCGTTATCATTTTCTATACGATTACCTTCTCGTAAAGTAGTCAATGAAATGGTGGTATATGAAACCTTCCCCAATTTCTGTTTCCATTGTAAAATGTATGGACACCACCCATTCATTTGCAAAAAATTGGCATCAATAGAACGAGACTTAGTTGCCCAGGAGCCTCTAGCTGTTGCTGCTCACCCGACCGGGTACTGCACTGACCCGACCGGGTCTACTGGGCAGACAGTGTCCCAGGGGTCTGCCAGCGCTGATTTGGGTGGTAGTTTGCACACTGATCAAGGGATTGTAGGGACTGAGCCTGGTGTGCCCGAATCAGAGGAGGATGATGACACAGAAGATGAGGTATCCGATAATGAGCCGAAAGATGAGGAGGAGCAAAGAATTCTTGACGAATACTGGGAAAAAATTACACAATATAAGAAGATGAAGAAAAGGATGATAGCTGAGCCGCTCAAATAGGTTTAGGCTAATTTGATATTGTCACTGACGGTTACATGGATGTCTGTTTTTGATTCCTCTTATTAGGTGGATATGGGGAATGCCCCATTATGTTGTTGATGCATTATATTTAGGTTAGATTCATCTAACATAGATAGTCTTTTCTGATCTTATGTGATACATTGTAAAATGTTACTTTTGGGTGTTTTTTATATACTTACATTTCATACAAAAAAAAAAGAACTCGGTAAGATCTTTCCAATGAGATATTAAATGCTTTCAATGGCACAAAATAGAGCAAGATATGATCGCATCAAATTCTACACGAGTTCGGAGTGAAATCAGAAACATTTGTGAATATCTGGTCAATCTGTAACTTTTAATTAATTCATTGTAAATGAAGTTAGAACAATAGCTTTAGAACTCCGATCTATCTTTCCAACGAGATATAATACGCTCCAAACGGATAAACACACAGCAAGATATGAGTGTCACAAATACTTAGCCTTATCTCTATGATTTAGCGTTTTCAGGGAAAATAGAGCACTTTTAGCGTATATACAGTGTATTTTAGTAATTAGGCAATAATCACTTGATTTTTTGAAACCAGCGCCTGAAGACAAGTTTTAGAACTAAGTATGATCTTTCAAACGAGATATTAAACGCTTTCAACGGCACAACAAAGAGCAAGATATGATCGCATAGAATTCTACACGAGTTTGGAGTGAAATCAGAAACATTTGTGAATATATGGTTAATCTGTAACTTTTAATTAATGCATTGTAAATGAAGTTGGAACAATAGCTTTAGAGCTCCGATCTATTTTCCAACGAGATATAATATGCTCCAAACTGATAAACACTCAGCAAGATATGAGTGTTACAAATACTTAGCCTTATCTCTATGATTTAGCGTTTTCAGCGAAAATAGAGCACTTTTAGCGTAAGTACAGTGTATTTTAGTAATTAGGCAATTCTCCCTTGATATTTTGAAACCAGATCCTGAAGACAAGTTTTAGAACTCGGTAAGAGCTTTCCAATGAGATATTAAACGCTTTCAACGGCACAAAATAGAGAAAAATATGATCGCATCAAATTCTACACGAGTTCGGAGTGAAATCAGAAACATTTGTGAATATATGGTTAATCTGTAACTTTTAATTAATGCATTGTAAATGAAGTTAAAACAATAGCTTTAGAGCTCCGATTTATCTTTCCAACGAGATATAATACGCTCCAAACGGATAAACACACAGCAAGATATGAGTGTCACAAATACTTAGCCTTATCTCTATGATTTAGCGTTTTCAGCGAAAATAGATCACTTTTAGCGTAAATACAGTGTATTTTAGTAATTAGGCAATCATCCCTTGATATTTTAAAACCAGCGCCTGAAGACAAGTTTTAGAACTAGGTAAGATCTTTCCAACGAAATATTAGACGTTTTCAACGGCACAAAATAGAGCAAGATATGATCTCATCAAATTCTACACGAGCTCGGAGTGAAATCAGAAACATTTGTGAATATATGGTTAATCTGTAACTTTTAATTAATGAATTGTAAATGAAGTTTGAACAACAGCTTTAGAGCTCAGATCTATCTTTCCAACGAGATATAATACGATCCAAATGGATAAAAACACACAGCAAGATATGAGTGTCACAAATACTTAGCCTTATCTCTATGATTTAGCGTTTTCAGAGAAAATAGAGCACTTTTAGCGTAAATACAGTGTATTTTAGTAATTGGGCAATCATCCCTTGATATTTTGAAACCAGCGCCTGAAGACAAGTTTTAGAAAATGGTAAGATATTTCCAACGAGATATTAAACGCTTTCAATGGAACAAAATAGAGCAAGATATGATCGCATCAAATCTACACGAGTTCGGAGTGAAATCAGAAACATTTGTGAATATATGGTTAATCTGTAACTTTTAATTAATGCATTGTAAATGAAGTTGGAACAATAGCTTTAGATCTCCGATCTATCTTTTCAACGAGATATAATACACTCCAAACGGATAAACACACAGCAAGATATGAGTGTCACAAATACTTAGCCTTATCCCTATGATTTAGCGTTTTCAGCGAAAATAGAGCACTTTTAGCGTAAATACAGTGTATTTTAGTAATTAGGCAATCATCCCTTGATATTCTGAAACCAGCGCCTGAAAACAAGTTTTAGATCTCGGTAAGATCTTTCCAACGAGATATTAAACAATTTCAACGACACAAAATAGAGCAAGATATGATCGCATCAAATTCTACACGAGTTCGGAGTGAAATCAGAAACATTTGTTTATATATGGTTAATTTGTAACTTTTAATTAATGCATTGTAAATGAAGTTGGAACAATAGCT